GATAGGGTCTCACTAAGTTGCTGAGGCTGGCCTTGAACCTGGATTTTCCTGCCTCAGTGTCTGAGTAGCTGGGATTACAAGCACAGACCCCTGTGCCTGGCAAGTGAGGGCCTTTCAAGTGAATGACTTTTAGGAAAAGCTGCCTGGTGGACTTTTCCTATTTTGCTGTTTGATGGCAGAGGCTTCTAGGTGGACAGGTTTCTGGGGATGGCAGCAACCCTGCCTCCCACCTGGGGCTGGTCTCTTTCAGCCTTTCTAAGCCGTTAGCACAGCCTGAGAAGAGGATTATGGACCACATGGATGTCACCTAGCCAGAAAATACAGTGCCTGAAAGGGGTGTCTAAGGGGGCCTGGAGGAGGGCCAGAGTATAGACAGCCTTGAGCTCCACCCTGGTACTGAGAAAGCATGGAGAGACATTTCCCCACACCTCTACATCTTGCTATGAAAATGTTCAAACATAGAAAACATTAAGGGTTTTATACCTATTGTTTCATATTAGAGAAATCTTTGTGTCATATGTAATAATACCTGCTGAGCACTGTGAGTGCTTAGCATGTGCCAGGTTCTGTTTCTAACATGAGATGTGGGTTAGCCTATTTGACCCTTGCAGATAATCCTATAAGACTGGTTCTTGAAGTGAGCAATCATGACTGGAACACCAGAACTATGTTCAGAGGAATCCCACCTTCCAAGCTCTGCCTTCAATAGAGGTTGCAACTGAATTTCCCAGCCTCCTTTGCAGCTAGGATGTAGCACGAGACCCAAGCTTTTCTAGTTTACATGCCATGTAGCACTTTGGTATGCAGGGAACAACATGGGGTGATGGGTATGAGCAGAATTCAAATTTAGGAACATAAAGTATTGCCCTTTGACCTGGGAGTTCCCCTTCCCTGCACCCCAGGCTTTAGAAGGTCCTGCTCTGTTCCTCTTCCAATAGTGAGCTTCCCTGTGGATTAGGGGGCATGTGAAGCTGTATTAATTTCTATGTTACTGAACAATAGAATCTAAAGCAGCCCCGCAGGTGGAAATCAAGATTCAGGGCTCTGAGTTCTTGCCTGGAGATGGAGGAAAAAGCCACATCAGAGCTCCTTGGCTGCTGGCAGAATTCAGTTCCTCGAGGCTGTGGGACTGAGAGCCCTGTTTTCTTGCTGGCTGTAAGATCCTGAATCCATCTTTGTTCCTCACCATGTAGCCCTCCCAGTCCTCAAGCCTCAACAGTGGGAAGAATCGGTCTTGTGCTTCACATGCTTTCCCAGAACCAGGTGAAGAAAACTGTCTGCTTTTAAAGGACTCATGTGATTGTGTTGGGCCCAGAAAGATGATCCTCCTGTTCCAAGGTCAACTGTACCATGTAACATAACCTGGAGGAGAATATCCATCATAGCCCAAGGTTCTGGGGGTCATACAGGATGTACACACAAGATGCAGGACATCCTGGGGCCATCGTAGAATTCTGCCGTCACAGGGGCAGAATGTGCCCACCCACCCCACTATAGTCCTGGTACCCAAGACACCAGAATTTTCTTCTTAAGTGGCTCTGAGCCTCTTTCAAGATTTGTCCTCCTGAAACCACACCACAGTGCCCATGAGCCTGCTTGTAGGCCCAGGGGTAGCCAGTGGGCAATGCTTGTAGGTGGAAGGCATGGAGGGAGTGTGGGCGTATGGTCTGAGTCATACAAACAGTGTGCAGCAGGAGCCAGAAGTGAGATGAGAAGGTGTGGATTGTGGACCAGGAGCCTCTTTAACCAGCACTTCCATGTTCTAACACAGAATTCTAAGGAGCCTAAGAACTATAAATTTGAATCTGGCCTTCCATGTTGTAAGGAAGGTATATTTGTCAGGATACATGAACAAACTCATTTTATTTATGGCTTTCAAATGTTTAAACATGATTCCGAGGTGCCTCTGGGGCCTGTACATGCATATGGACCTCTGCTTGTTCTCTTGCCCAGGTATAAGTTTCTTAAGGTTGCTGTAACAAGTAAGCACCAACTTGGTTTCTTAAAACAACAGAAATGTATTCTTCCACAGTTCAGGATGCCAGTATTACTGGGCTGAAATCAAAATGAGCAGGGCCATAATCCCTCTATAGGTTCTCAGGGAAAATCTGTTCCTGGCCTCTTTAAACTTCTGCTGGCTGCAGGTGTCCCTTGGCTTGTGGCCACATCATTCTAGTCCTCAAGACCAGTGTCTTCCATTCTCTCTCTGCTCTATCTTCCACAGGACCTACTGTGTGCATCAAATCTCTCTGTGTGTCCCTTTCATGAGGATACATGTGATGGCATTTAGGATTCACCTAGATAATCCAGGATAAGCTCAACCCTTAATCATATCTACAAAGACTCTTTTCCCTAATAAGATTCCAGGGGTTAGGACTTGATATCTTTGTGGCCATTATAGGCAGCATACTATAGGAGGTAACCTTGATGGCATCCTCATGCAAGGAGTGGCAGTGGCTGCGATCTGGCACCCATTCCCAAACACTATTGGCATGAGCTGCTCCCTGTTTGTGAGTTCCCACATAAGGGTGGAGCTGTGGCCGCCAGAAATCTTTTTCTAGAACAGCGCCCTCTCCCTGGGTATTGTTCCAGGCTGTGTGGTGTCTGCGCAAAACTGATTCAGCCCTCAGAGATTATATGAACTGCCTAACATTCTTTAAACTGTTTTTGTCCTTATTTTTTCACAACTTTATTGAGGTATAATTTACATATTATGAGATCACTAAAAATTTTAAGTATGCACTTTAGTGACTTTATATAACTTTATCAGGTTGTGTGACCATGGCCACAGTTCAGTTTCAACACATTTTGTCACCCCATGAGGACCCCACATGCCCATTGCCAGCCACTCCCTGCTCCTGCCCCCAGGGTTTGCCCATCCCAAGGCAATCAATGATTTATTCTCTGCCTCTATGGATTTGCCTTTTTTAGATCGTTTTCTTCCTAAACTCAGCAAAATGGATTCAATTATTTAGAACTAGAAACCCTGCCAGTAGAATTACCTTTATCATTTTAGAAGAAGGAACAGTGACTCTGATGGTTTAGATACCTTGCCTAAGGTCACCTGGCTAATCAGAGCTACCTCTGGACCTGAGCACCTCACCCAGGTCCCTGCTCTCACTAGAGCAGTGTGGAGAGGGAACAGGATGGGGCAAGACTGTAGGGAGGGACACCATGTAGGGGACTCCTGGGTCACCCAGGTGGGAGTGGGTGGGGGCCTGGGCTGAGGAGGTGACAGTGGTAGAGGAGAAAGGTAGCTGGAGTAGAGAACTTTTAGGAAGATTAGAACAGTATTTGTAATTGAGTGGATGAGGGGGAAAAGGGACATGAGGGTCCAGCAGTGTGCCATGTTCCGGCTTGGTGGTTGGAATAATTTCCCAGGATAGGAAATGCAGGGGAAGAAGCCAGTTTGGGGTAGAAGATGAGCTCAGAAACCAAAGGCACCCAGTCCAAGGTGCCCCTGGGACCTGTACAGGCTTATTTTGATGGTATTGGACACGTGAGTCCAGAGCTGTAGATACAGGTCTCTCTATGGCCAGCATGCAGATGGTTTGTAGAACCCCAAGAGGAAGCTGCAGTTGGCCAGCAAGAGAAACAAGGAGCCCTAGAACAGACCTCGTGCAGCACTAACCTTCAGGGGTAGGGAGCACAGAAGTCCCCAGAGGATTTTGAGAATAGAAACCACAGAGATCAAAGAAGTCAAGGGACTGTGGATTCTTGGAAGTTAAGGGAAGAAGAGGAAAGTGGTACCTGGTCACTGGTGTCCACTGCCACTTAGAGTTGTGCAACCATCTCAGGAAGATCAGACCCATGGCGTGTCTGCTGGATTTAGTGGAAATCACTTGGCAAGGGAGGCCCTGGAGAAGCAGTGGAGGTGGGAGCCAGACTAAAGTGGGTGGAGGAGTGAATGGAGACGCGGAAAAGGATGTGGTGACTCACTCTTTCAAAAGACTCGGCTACAGGGGAGCAGAGAGGCATGGAGCAGTGTATAAGAGTGCGGGACTGAGCGAGGGTTTATTTTTAAGATGAGATGTGGTATTTAAATGCAGATGGTGAAGAGACAGGAGAGGAGGGGAGTCGATGGGAACACGTGGAAATCATCCTCATTATCATCGTTATGTTTATTGTCACCAATGAGCAATCACAGGAACGCTTGCTCTGTTCTGAGACTGCTCTGATTGATAGACCTTTCTTACTTGGAGCCTGGTCCTTTCAGCTCTAAGTCTGACCCCTCTGGTCCCAGCCCTGTCCTGTGTTCATTCTGCACTCCACATGGCTCTATGCTGCTTGCAACTCTCCTCTCCACCACACTAATCTCCCTGAGCCCTCGGGCCAGCACCTCCCCACTGTCCAGACCCTTGACTGTTCTGGGGAGACTCAGAAAATATACTAAGTCTGAATTTGAAGCAAATCAAAGAATTTTATTTTACCTCTATTTCCCTGGCGAGGGACACTTCTACCATGCCCAAACGACCTTCTGATAGAAGCGCACCAGGCTGTCTGTGGTTCCAATATTTAAGGAAGAATAGCACATCCTATGAATCTGCAAATTGCAAGCAAGCAGGGTTCAAGGGCTGAAAAAAAACAGTGAGCAGAGCAGAGTCAGACGACCGCATCCTGGGTTCAAGCCCAGTTGTGGTTGTACATCCTGGGTTCAAGTGCATTTGCAGATGTGTGAAGCTCAGAAAACCAGTTTTTTAAATAATTCTTAAAAACAGCTTATATAACAGTTTCACACGAGAACCATAAAGATGGAGTCATTGGTTATACTTACTATTTTATTAGTCTCTATATTTTTAATCTATATAACTTATTAATTGTATTGATTAATTCAGACCATAACATTGACCCTCTTGGCCAAGCCCACATGGCCACCACCGAGTTTGTGAAGACCCTCCTAAAAGGTGGTGTGCTGGGGCTGGGGCTGGGGCTGGGGCTCAGCAGTAGAGTGCTCGCCTAGCATGTGCAAGGCCTGGGTTCAATCCTCAGCACCAAATAAAAATAAATAAGATAAAGGTATTGTGTCCAATTACAAATAAAAAATAAATATTAAAAAAAAGGCGATATGCTCACTCTTTGCTTTGCTGGTAGAAGCATGAAGTGGTTCTCTGTGGTCTGACAAGGGAGTGGAGATGTAAATGTGTGTGGCCTTTGGCTAGATGTTCCTCCTCAGGAGCTAGCGCCCTGGGTGGGAGAAGATGGAGAAGATGCTTGTGTGAATGTTCCTGGTGACACGGGTGGAGGGCAGATAGTGAGCCCAGTGGTCAGGCTCTGGGCTGGGCGTGAGTTAAACAGATGTGAAAGTAATTCACCCTCAGGGCTCTCCTTTCACTTTGGAGCTACCTTTGCTCAGGAAGTCCAGGCGCTCTCAGCTAGAGACAGACTTTGCTGAGAGGTACTTCTTCCCGGCCCAGCTCTGAGAACTGTCTGGTCATGCTGTCCGGGGGCCAGCTCTGCGGGTATAAGTCCGTGAGAGTCCTTCATATCCACAGTGTGTGGGTTGGGACCCTGAAGAACACCTTCCTGGTGGGCACCTGCATCTACATCTGGTGAGTCAGGCTGTGAGCCAGCCAAGGGCCACATAGCCCACCTCCCTTCACCTCCCCCTGCCTGTCACTCAGTGTCCCCCTCTTCAGCAGGAATGACCTATGGGAGCCCCTGGGATGGCCCTGGCTCTTCTCATGTCAGCTTTCTTCCTCGGCCAGATTCTCCCCAGCTCTCCTCTCCCCACCTCCATCTTACCCATCCTTCCAGGCCCAGTTAAATCCCCTGTCCCTCATGCCCTCTTTGTTCCAGGGACCAGAGGCTTTGCCTGCTGCAGAGAACAAGGAACCATGGCTTTCTTAGAACTGAAAGGACATGGGGATGAATGAGCCCAGAGTTATCCCCTCACTCAGGGATCAAACCCAAGGCCCAGAGAGGTGACATGGCTTATCTGAGTAACCAAGCAAGGGCAAGAGAATATGGCTGGGGCGGTCATGAGCATATTCCTTCCAAAGGGCAGAATATTGTAAACTCTCTTTCATTCCCTCTTTTTTCCTTTGATAAAGCTCTGACACGTTTTAATTCCTAAAATTTATACATTCCTCATGATGCAAAGACAAGTTTCTGATTATGAGACAGTTGGGTTCTATTAAAGCTGCACATTCTGGAATGAACACAGAGAGAGATCAGAATTGAGCTCTCCCAATGGTGGGTCAAACTGACCCAGTATTGTTCTGGGACAATATTGCAATGTCCAAATCAAAACACATCATTACATTATCATGTATGTGTTTTGGGGCTGGGGGACATGTGTTACTGAACAAGTGTTATCTGTGTCACGTGTGCTGATTAGTCCCAAGTCTGGATCTCTAGGCCCAACATATTTTTCCCCAATATCTTCCTTCCTTTCTTTTTCTTTCATTCTTCTCATTATTAAGTTTTAGTGGTACTAGGGATTGAACCCAGGGCTTTGATCATGTCAGGCAGGCACTCTCCCATTGAGCTACATCCCCAGCCCTTGACAATTTTTCTCTCTAAATGAATGTCATAGAAATTCTGGCACATGTTGTGAATAACGTAGCTCCCATGTGCCACCATGTGATCTAAGAAATAAAACATTACTGACCCAGTTGTGCTCCCTGAAAACCCATCCATCATCCCATTCTTTCCTCTCTATTTATAAAATCATGTGCTGTTTGCATTCCCTTGTTTGTTTTGATAGTTCTACAGACATATGTCAATGTCTGTAAAAATATATAGTTTTTAGCTCTTCTTTATTGAGGTAAAATTCATATAACATAAAATTAACCATGTTAAAGTGAACAAGTCCATGGCATTTAGTATATTCACCATGTTTACAACAACATCCTCTATCTAGTACCCAAATACACTCATTGCCTTAAAAGGAAATATCATATTTATTAAGTGTTACGCCTCATTTCTCCCTCCCCTCCCCTCTGGCAAACACCAGTCTACTCTGTCTCTGTGGATTTACCTTTTCTGAATATTTAACTTATAAACGAAATCATAGGAGATGACCTTTGTGCCTGGCTTCTTTCACTTAGGAGACAATGTTCTTGAGGTTTATCCACACTTTAGCATGTATCAGTACTACGTTCTTTTTTATGGCTGCAGAGTATTCTGCAGAGTATTGTATCTGTAGACCGTATTTTGTCTATCCATTCATCATTTGGGTTATTTCTACCTTGTGGCTATTGTGAATAACACTGCTATGGACATTCCTGTTTGAGTATTTGTGAGTACACAGCATTGCTTTGGATTTCTTCAGGCTTTTGACCATACTGTAGCTTGCTGTGTTTGCTCGGCATTATTGTGTTACTTCCTCCTTGACCATGCAGCTCTGGGCAGCTCACAAGACACTGCTGCAGAGCCTCCCATTGTGAATCCAACTATTTATCAATCCACTCAATGTTTGAGAACATTCAACTATTTCCAGTTTTCTTCTCACAACGCTGCATGAACATTCTTGTACGTAGCTCCATGGACCCACGTGTGACAGCTACTCAGGGGCAGATACTTAAGATGCCATAGCTGGGTCCTAGAAAATGCCTTTTTCCAAATGTACTTGCTGTTGCCAAGCATGGGCTGTCTTTTCAGAAGTCTCCTGGCAGGTCTGGCCCCTGGCTGTGCGTTACAGTCTCCTGAGGAACATTTAAGAAAGACACAAGTGTCTAACTAACTGCCCAGATTGTCCTAATCAGCCTCCAGGGACAGGGCTGGGAAGCCACGATTCTGAAAGCTCCTGGGTGACTTCACTGCTCTGCCGGGTTGAGAACAGCTGGGAGCGTGTCGTGGTCCACTGTGCTTTGGCTTCCCAAGGTCAGCTCAAAGAGGGCGACCCTGGACTTAGACTTATGGCCGGAGAATTGCACTCAGGGGCTGGGCAGAGAGGAGGGACAAAATAAATAGATGCTGAATGTGTAAACAAAGCATTTAAAATAAGATCTTAATTATTCAGGGCAACAAGAGACATGGAAAACAGAAAAATGGGGATAGAATCTACCTTTTTCTTGGCAACACTGGGGATCAAACTCAGGACTTAGGCATGCTGGACAAGGGTTCCACCACTGAAGGACATCCTCAGCCCTTTTTTAAAAAATTATTATTTTGAGACAGGGTCTCGATAAGTTGCCCAGGCTGGCCTTAAACTAGCAATCCTCCTGCTTCAGCCTAGAGTTACAGGTTATAGGTATGTGCCACGGCACCAGACAGAACCTATGATTTTTAATTATTAATTCCACTTTTTCCCTTCACCCCCCCACCTCCATCCTCGAAGTAGGATGGTTGGCTCTGGGCAAAATGTAGACTAATGGTGGACCTCAGTTTCTGCCATGAGCTGTGTAACTCTGGGCAAGTTCCTTCACCTCTCTGAGCCGATTTACTCATCTACAAAAGAATGGTGATTGCAGTCACTATCTCTTATTGCTGTGAGAATTGAAACAGTTGATGCATTTAGAGAACTTGGCATATCTAAGTGCTTGGTAAAGAGGATCTGCTATTATCAGCATTATTGATAAAGCAGGTGGGTTCCTGAAAGCAGGTCAGGCTGCTGACCTGCCAGACACAGTCTTAGATAGGAAGGTGCTGACGTGTTACTGAGCCCAGGACAAAGGTGGTAAAGCAACCTGGAGCTGCACGTTATTACATAGGAAGCTGTCCTACTGATTTTTTAGTAGGTCTATCCTAGGTAACAGTGAAGAAGGGGTGGAGGCCACTGTTTTTTGTAGCAAGGGCCCACCACGCAGCACATGCTACACCAGGGGGTTTGCACACGTTATCTCATTTGAGTCTCACAATGATCCCAGGAGATAGGTTTAACTATTGTTCCCATTTTGCAGAGAGGGAAAGTGAGTCACCAAGAAGCAGGACACCTCGCAGGGCTAGCATTTGAAAGGATGTGGCCTTCAGGGCTTGCATCCCAAATGGCCTCAGACCCCCCTGGAGAAAGCCACTGATACCTTTCTGTGTCTGCCACTTAGTTTCGCTTTGGTGAGTGACAAGCTATACCAGCGGAAAGAGCCTGTCATCAGTTCTGTGCACACCAAGGTGAAAGGGATAGCAGAGGTGACGGCAGAAGTCATGGAGAACGGGGTGAAGCGCTCGGTGCAGAGCGTTTTTGACACTGCGGATTACACCTTCCCTTTGCAGGTGAGCATTGGCATCCCTGGAAACCATCACCAGGGCCTCTCGCTCTTCCCCTGGGACCCCCACTCCAGAAAAATGAACACTGGCCCTGTTTTAAAAGCTCTATGAAAATCCCTACTGAGAAAACCTAAAAAATTGAAAAACTGGGTCAGATCCAGCAGCTCAAAGAAGATAGTTCTTTGCTCTATCAAGTCCTATAGGGTTTCTCAAAATAGCAGCGTGTCCTGGCGCATTTCAAACATGGTCTGATTCCCTCTCGCTCGGTGTATACTGACATCTGCACGGCTCTTCAGAACCCTGGCCACCAGGCAGCAAGGTCTGCCTGCATTCTCCAGGGCAAAAAAAAAAAATTGCCACCTGGAGAGTGCCAGCCTTTCTGCATTGTCTCTGTGGCCTTTTGTCACTAAAAGACCTCCAGGAGGCCATTTTGGAACATTCATACCCTTTAGACACCAAAGAAGGATGTAGGTGAGAAAGAAGAGCAGGCATGGGTCACAGGGCACAGGTACAGGAGCGTCTTGGCCGCCAGGCAGGGAGACTGAAAGCAGAGTTTCCAAAAAGGAGAAATTACAGAGGGGTGTGGGGAGGCCCAGGGACAGCTGGGGGACAGGAGGAACAAAAGGGCATGTTTGCAGCTGCAGGAGCCGTCAAGGCCAAGCCACTATCTGCTTGTTTCTTAACAGTGGGTTGTTAAAATCCAGCCATCGGCCAGCTGGCAGGATGCCCTGTTGCCCTTTCATTAAAGTCTTGGAGAACTGAACAGCCTGCCCAGCTGCGCCCCCGCCCTGCCCCCGCCTCCCCAGGTCTCCGGAGTCTCGGTTTAATGGGATTTTATGGTGACAAGTAAATGAAGGGCCGCTTTTGAGGCTGGATTAGAAATGACTGCTCAATCTGTTTGCATGTTCCTTTGCTCCCCCTCGGCCCAGCAGGACGGCTCCTCCAGCTTTGCTATCAAGCCCCCGGCATAGTCCATGTGCCCACGGAGCCTGGTTTCTAGAAGCTTAGAGGGGTGCGCCGGGAGCTCAGCAGCAGGCTGGGTCATTGTGATTGAGCTGTTCTGTTCCCTTCTCTCCTCCTTCTGCTCTGCAGGGGAACTCCTTCTTTGTGATGACGAACTTTCTTAAGACAGAAGGCCAAGAGCAGCGGCTGTGCCCTGAGGTAAGGAGGGGACCTGTGGGGGTGGGTGATAAGAGTTCCTGGAGGAGACTGGGAGGGGAGACAAAGGGGGATGAGCCAGGATGTTTTCAGCCCACCCATGTCTACTGAGCACCTGCCTCCGTGAGGTGGGGTGGTGAGGTAGGGCGGTAGGTGGAAGAAGGTTGGAAAAGCACCGTAGGTCTCACCCCCAGCTGCCAGATCTTTGCCATCTCCCCTTGCCTCCAGCTGCAGTGGCCTGGAGACCTGCTCTTTCCCTTGGTAGCTTCCTGGGCATCTCAGCAACATGATTCTTGGCATTTGCAAATCTGATTTCATGTCACTGGAGCCCACAGCTTCTCCTGCCAGGGTCCACCATGAACTGTCTGCAAGGCGGGTCCCAGGAAACAGTGCCAAACAGCTCTAGATGGCCCATTTCCCCCTCTTCTTAAGAGTTTCTATTTCTGTATCAGGCCTCCCCACCCAGACCACCCCACACAATCTTCCCACCTCTGTACTCTTGACCTTCCCCTACCTCCCTCTGGAAAATGTCTTCTCTCCAACTTCACAGTCAGAGTCTGCTCTGTCCAATGGGATGAAAGGCTAGCTCTCTTTTAAGTTTGTACCCATGAATCACCCCTAGGCCTTACCTGTTCCTCCCCTCTCTGGGGACACACCTGTGCCTTACCAGGGACCATTCCCTGAGGGAAGCAGCCATGGTGGCCATATCTCCACAGGCCCTCTGCCCACGGGTAGAAGAACCAGCCTGGCCATGCGGGTCCTGACCCATCCCTCTGGTCACAAAGCCTAGTTTTCTGAGTGTCTGGAAGTTCCAGTGAACATGCTCACTCCTTGTACAGTCTTTGTCACCATGATACCCAAACTTGGGACCAAACTGACGTACCCTTGGTGTCTATGTCAGTGATGCACCCACTGCAGAGACCTCTGGACATTCCTTCCCATCTCCCCGAGAGCGCCCCGCTCTGAGGAATCAGCCAAAGCCAGCCCGGGTCAACTCACCTTCCTCCGCCCTTCCCAGCAGCACCCAGTGTCCAGGCCAGTTGGGAGCCCTGGTTCTCCTTTGCCCTGCAGTCTGGTCATCTCTATGTCACACTCTAACCCCATGTTTTCAAAGACATTTTTCATGTCACTGAGACTTGCAAGAAGTTAAGGACAGCTCAGGGGGAACAGCCCGGGCTTGATGCAGTGTGAACAGTTCACAGCTTGACTTATTGGCCTGGTGACTGCATGGGCGACTTCACTTCTCTGTGCCTTGGTGTGTTCAGAACCTTGCTCTCAAGGTTGCTAAAACAAGTGAGCAGACGCCTGTGACATGACGGTGCATTGTGGCATTCTAAATGGAGTTGTTAGGGTTTAAGGGTTCCTTTGCCGCAGAGGTCACTCTGAGCAGCTCCAGGGAGGCACTGCTGGCCCAGAGAGCCCCAGAAAGCTCTCTGGGATTTTAACCAGCTGGTTCGGGTCAGTGTAATGGCACAGTCGCCTCCTCTCTTTGCACATTGACACTATCTACTACTATCTCTGGTCATCCCAGGGATCGTGGCCAAGCCCTGGGTGCACAGAGTCCTATATGAGTGAATGTTCCAGTTATCTCTTCAAACCACTCTGAACTTGGTGGGCTTCTCAAAGCCCTGTGTGACTCTCACAGTTCCATGGTGGCCTGGGCTCAGCCAGCAGTTCCTCTGCGGGTCTCACTTGGGGTCTGTCGAGGGGCTACACTCACCAGCAGCTGGTGCTGGCCTTCTTTGGAGGCTCTCCTGGCACCAGGGGATGGCTGGGGACCTCTTCCTCTCTGGAGGGTCTGTCTCCAGCAGTGTAGTGACTTAACAGCAGCACTGGGTTCCCAAAGCCCAAACGCAGAAGGTTCCAGGCCCTCAGAAGGCTGAGGCTGGAGCTGGCACCATGTTACTTGTGCTGCTTCTGCTGGTCCTGCACTCAGGTCACCCAGCTTCGGAGGGGGCAGGGGAATACTCCACCTCTCAACCTAGATGGTGACTGAGAATTTGTGGCCGTCTTTAATCCACATAATATTCACAAAATAAAACTAACTTTTTTCCTTAATTTTACAGTTTATTCTAGAAAATAAAAGTGAATCAATTTATCTTCTTTCCTGAGAATTCCTTGCAGTTGATAATGGAAATGTAACTATCCATGAGCCACAGAGGTTGATCATTCATTCATTTATTTCATGTTCATCAGACCTACTACATGTCAGGCAAAGATATGACCAGGCTTTGTGGTCCAAGGGCTCTTCTATGAAGGGGTTCATAGCCTCATGGTGGTGGCGGGTCAAAAGGAGGAGAAGCTGGGGGTCTGGAGGGTGACAGAAGGCAGCCTGGGAAGAAAAGAGAACGTGGCAGAGTTTGAAAAGCACAAGCAAAGCTCACTGAGCAGCACTTTGTGCTGAGGCCTTTCTTTGCATAACTCAATAGTCTCCACGGTGACTATGTAGACAAATCTGTCTCCCCTTACAGATGAGGTAACTGAGGCTTAGGGAGCAAGAAAGGGAGCAGCTGTCACTGAAGCCAGATGCACCTGGGTCTTTGTCTTCGATTTCTGAAGAAGCCACAAACTGCCCAGAGGTCCTTGAGCAGAGGCTGTTCCACATTTATGTCACATTCTGGCCACTCTCAGATTGGCTGGCGCATCTGTTCCCCAGAGAGTAGAGTCAGATATGCCCAGACCAAGCCATCTTGCTTCTCCTCCTGATTGTGTCCTTCAGCCCTGAGACACAACTGACCTCATTTTCTGTGGCCAGGAGATAGTGCTGGCTGATGACCCCTGTTTCCACATCACCTGCTGCATCTTGGCACCTGTCTGTGTTGCTCAATTCTGAGCCACAGAGCCACCTGGGCCAGGCCACCTGCTCTCCACCTGCAGGGCCATTGCCAAAGGTGGCCCCCTGGCTGCTCTGACATCTGCTATTTACATTCTTATCTGTTTTTATTTTTTATTGAATCGTAATTCACGTACCATAAAGCGCACCACTTTAAAGGAAAGAACTCAGTGATTTTTATTCTCTTTGCAACACTGTACAACCATCACCACGGATTCCAGAACACTCCATCACCCCAGAGAAAAATCTCATTCTCATTTGCAGCCAGTCTGCACTCCTTCCCCCAGTGCCTGGCAGCCACCAAGCTGCTTCCTGTCTCTATGGATGTGCCTATTCTGACATTTCCTGTACATGGAATTGTATAGTTTGTGACATTTGTGTCTGGATTCTTCCAATCAGCATCATTTTCAAGGTTTATGCATGACATAGTGTGGGTTGGTGTTTCACTCCTTACAGCTGAGTGACAGTCCACACAGGAATGTACCACATGTCATTTGACCATTCACCTCTGACGGTCACTTGGCCTGTTAACGCTCTCTGGCCTTTGTGGGCAGTGCTGCCATGAGCACTGTGTGTGGGTTTCTGTGTGGCCAGACACGGACTTCTCCATATCTCAATGACACAGTGCCCCTTCTTTCTCCCTGCAGAATCCCACTCGCAGGACACTCTGTTCCTCTGACCGGGGTTGTAAAAAGGGCTGGATGGACCCACAAAGCAAAGGTACCTTCTGGGTTTTCTCCTGGAAAACAGGGCGGGAGGGGATCTGGCACCTTGGTGACATTCACAATCCCCCATTCAGGTCCTCAGCCTCTGGCTCTACAGCCTTCTTCCACCACCACGAAGCCACAGGTGGACCCGTGTCTATCCTAGCCCTTGGCCTTCTCCAAGGCTGACCAGCTACAGCCTGGGGACTGGGCTCAATTTCCCAGCCAGAGAAGCTCCTCCGAGCGTGGCCTGTCCGGGCTGTGATCGGTGAAAAAATTACCTGGCCCATCACATTGTCTAAACTGAACTTTCTCCCTGAATTTTCTCAAAGGTGGAGGACTTAAACTCCCAGGGAACCTGGGGGAATAAACCTGTACTTGCCTGAAGAATCTCATGCTTTAACTTAGAAAGGTATTAGACAATGCAACAACAACAAAAAATACTGCAAAAAATAATTTAAAAAGAAAACTGTCAATGGTAATAATGCACACCCTCCCCAGAGGCATGTGGACATGGCTTCTATTCCATAGTGCACCGTATCTGAGTTGGTATCTGGCCACTTGCTGTGGCTTGCTGCTCACTTGATCCTCCCTCTCCTCCCCATGCTCAGGAAGGTACACCATGTTCATTCCATGGCTCTGCACATCCCTGGGCAGGCCGTGTGCCCTATGGGTAGGCTCAGATGCCCACTTGGGGAGCCAAGTGCTAGTCCTCTGTGCCCAGCGAGAGAAGATACTGCTCAGCTCCCCTCTCGGGCATCTTTCATCGTAAAGAAGCTGAAAGGGCCAATGGAACCCAGATCTCGCTGAGCTGATTCCAGAACACTCCACCCCACAAAGAAATCTCATCCCCGTTTGTGGCCAGTCTCCACTGCTTCCCCTCAGTGCCTGGCAGCCACCAAGCTGCTTCCTGTCCCTAAGGATGTGCCTGGTCCCTTCTAAAGGGCTTACTGTTCAGTGTGATGCTCATCTGCTTTGTCTTGGGGTGAGGATGGGTTAGTTTTATTTTGTGAGGAGCGGAGGCTGCTGCTTGGGTGGTGTCCATGACGCCTGCCCTGGAGAATGTCCTCCATTCACATCGGAGGCTCTTCACTTCTCGACCCCACAGGGATCCAGACTGGCAGGTGTATAGTGTACAAAGGGAACCAGAAGACCTGTGAAGTCGCTGCCTGGTGTCCCACCGAGGCAGTGGAGGAGAAGCCCCCCCGGTGAGTTGCATGGATGGGGAGCAGACAAGGTGACCCTCAGCAGTGGCCAGGTGACGCCTTGCCAGGGTGCCTGGGCTTTTATTTCCCAGAGCAGCCCACAACGCTCTGGGCCTTTCTGCCTCAGGGTCCCCAGGCCAGGCGCACTCTAGGCACAAACCACTGTCCCTGGGAAGTTGGCGCTGTTGTTGACGTGGAGAATAGTTCCTTACCTGGTGGTGCATTACCACTACCCAGAGCACCCTTCCGGGCCACCTCCAGACCCCTCCTCTAGTGCCATGGCAGGGTTTGTTCTGATACACCAGTGTTCATATTGAGTGAGTAAGGGTAGGAAATGGAATGGGAGGAGGGAGAGAAAGAGAAGGGAGGGGAGGCAAGGAATCTTCTCAAATTAAACACTCACCTGACATACAGATTTGGTGGTTCCCTGTATTGATAGTTCTCTTTAACACACAGGTTGGGATATTAAATCTTAGAAACCACAAAGGCTGGTGCATTTCAGCAGAGAATAGTTAGAAAGACCTGGATTCAAATCTTGCTTCTAGTAGCTGTGTGATCTTGGGCAAGTAGCTTAACCTTCCTGAGTGCAATCTCCTCATCTGTGAAATGAGAATAATAACTGCTCCTACCTCATGAGGTGTTTGTAAGGATTAAATGAAACAATACTTGTGCATAGTGAAGTGAGCCCCATGCCTGGCTTCCACATGCTCACACGCACACGTATGATCTACCCCGGAAGTGTGCTAGTTTCAGACCAGCACCGTCCAGTAGAACTTCTGCAATGATGGGAAGGTAGTAGCCATGCTGCCCAATGTGGTAGCCACGACTTGAAGTGTGGCCATGGTGGGTAAGCAACTGGATTTTAATTAAATTTAAATTTAAATAGCACACCTGCCTAGCAGCTACCCAGACCAAAGTGGCTCAGGGCCACTCTCCTAGCATGTGTGGGACAAGGGAAAAACTGCTTAAGGGGATGTGTAGAAGGCTCAGGCCAAGGTCCCCAATGCCGAGGCAGGGCCGCCCTGTCTGGCCCACAGTTGTTAAACTGGGTTCATTTCTAGATCAGGGAAGTTTCTTGGTCACAGAAGAAACTGCCCAGCTGTGGGTGGGACATCTTCCCACACCCAAGTGACTCTTAGTTCAAGACAAGGGGCCCCTTGCTTAGCGCTGGCTTTTAGTTCTGACTCTGCCACCAACTCATTCATCAGCTAAATACCACATGCGTCTCCAGCTGCCTGGCCCAAGGCTGATCTGACTGCTCTCCAGTTTCCGGTGTGCTACATGAATTAGCCAAGACGGCTCATCTTGCCATTCACCATTACCATGTAGTAGGCACTAGATATTTCACATGTGATGATGACTGCTTCTATGTGAAACACAAGAAGTTCAGGTATGGAGCAGGCCCCAGGGCTCTTTCAGTCTAAAGAAGAGATAAGACACATGCAAAGAGATCTGTAATTCAAGATAGAATGTTGTAAATGTCACATGAAAGCAACGAAGAGCTTTGATCCTTAAAAGTTTTGGATCCTGTAGTCCTCTGATTGTCAAGAGTGCTGCTCAGGAAGTGTGAGGTTTAGAATGTTCTACAGGTAAGAGTCTAGCACACAGCAGGCATTTGTTGTAAATAAGATTTTTTTCTTTTTTTTTTTTGGTTTTGTTTTGCGGTACTGGGAATTGAACCCAGGGGTGCTCTGCCACTGAAATATGCCCCTAGTCCCATTTTAAATTTTGAGACAGGGACTCACTAAGTTGCTGAGGCTGGTCTCAAACTTGCAATCTTCCTGCCTCAGCCTCCCAAATTGCTGGAATTCCAGTTGTGCACCACCATGCCTGAGAATTTTTTTTTTTCAATGTAAATGACAGAAATCCAAATTAACTGACTTCAGAAAGAAAAAAAAAAGGGTATTACTTTTTGGCTTTTTTAAAAAATATTTTTTATTTGTAATTGGACACAATACCTCTATTTTATTTATTTATTTTTATGTGGTGCTGAGGATAGAACCCAGTGCCTTGCACTGCTAGGGGAGCGCTCTATCACTGTGCCCCAACCCCAGCCCCTGGCTTTTGTTTTTGATTCCAGTAATTCAAAAACATCCAGAGGTCCTGGCTTCAGGCAAAGCTTGGTCCAGGCTTCAAATGATGTCAATGAGATTCTCTTTCCCACTTCCTTCCTCTCTCACCCCTCTCTTAGTTATTCTTTCTTTAATTCTGGCTTTCCTTGCACTGTGGTCCAGGGAATTCCAAGTTGACACTATCCTTATTACTAACAGTCCAGCAAAAAAAGAGTTTCTCTTTTCCAGTTGTTCCCAGAAATGGTTCTCTTTGGCTTAAATCATGTGACCATCTCTGAACCAACCCGATGGCCAAGGGGAACAGACCACACTGTTTAGCCAGCCCTGGGTCACATGCCCATGCAGAAGTGTAGGAATAGACAGGAAGTAATCATCCCCACAGACCCTTCTGGATGGCAGCGGAGAGCTGGCTTCTCCAAAGAGAGAAAACTGAGCTTGTACCATCCAAAGGGGAGAAGATGCTGGACAGGCAAAAAGATGGGGTTTGCACACAGAGCTCCCACACACACAACCAACACTGGGTCCTGGGGTAAAAGGCAGGCCATTCTTGGTGCCCTGTCTTTGCCCCTTCCTGTGCTACTCAGACACGGCCGGCAGCAGGGTGCCAGCTGAGCCTTTCTATTCACAGCCAGTGTTCTCCATCTTTCATAAACTATCAAGTGCAAAAGGGCAGAAACGTTGACAGTTGCTCATCACTGTATCCCACTGCCCAGTTCCAAGCCCAATACTTGGCGTTTGCTGAATGGAGGGATGGAAGGATGGTGGGTGGCTTCCTGTCATCTGGAATTTGGGCTCCTCTAACTCACAGAATTGTACACTATTCAGCCTCTAAGAAATGACTAATGCAGTCAGCTGTCTGTCTGTGTGGCCCTGGTCTAAAGGCTGAGGATGCCGGGATTAGAAAACTGTTGTGCCAGCCCTGAAGGAACTCTAGGCCTACTGGGAGAGCCACAGATAGGGGTGTGCTGGAGCTGGCTGGTAGGTTCACAGCCAATTGTGCTCAGCCCATCCCAAATTCAAGTTTGTGATTTCCCTTTGGTAGTTGGAAACCAGCCATGGTAGGAGTATTTATAGCATGATAATCAGCAAACACATATTAGCCTTTTTTTTTCTCCTTAGAGTGATGGATGTCAAACATTTACCAAAACACTACTGCACGTAACTAAATATACAATTATATCAGAGTGACAGAAGGGACACCGTAAATGCTATGGGGTCTCAAGAAGGAAGAAATTCTTAGAGAAACTGAAAGCCTTCATAGAGAATTTTGGAAGGTTTTCTCTATTAGATTGCTGCATCCATTTTTCTTATCTCATCCCCAAGGCTAAAGTAGAAAACCAGAAGTCCCTGGTCTCACTGACACACTGGCGCCCCCTGTCTCTGTGGTCACTGATTCTTATTTCTCTCTCCCAGGCCTGCACTTCTGAGCAGCGCTGAAAACTTCACTGTGCTCATCAAGAACAATATTGACTTCCCTGGCCACAACTATACCACGTAAGTGTCCAGAATGTGTGGTATAGCAGTTACCTACATACAGCTGTGTAAAAAAGAAACATTCTAGGGCTGGAGTTGTACCTCAGTGATGGAATGCTTGCCTAGCATGTGTGAAGCACTGGGTTCGATCCTCAGCACGATCCTTTATTCATAAATAAAATAAAGGTATTGTGTCTATCTACAACTAAAAATACTAAAAAAAAAGAAACCTTCTAAAATGACAAATACTTATTGTCTCTCATTCTGTGGATCAGGAATCTGAAAATGTATTTGCTGGGTGGATCTGGTTCAGGTCCTGGTCTCCTTGGTTAAATTCAGTCTGTCACAAGGCTGCAGTCATCTCTAGGCTCCACTGGGGCTGAAGATTCCCTTCTAGGCTCACTGATATGGTTATTGACAGCAGGCCTCTGTTCCTTACCAAGAGGATCTGACCCTAGGATCACATGTTTCCTTAGGACATGGTGGCTAGCAAGCAATTCAGGAGAGTAGTGGCCAGGGATGGTGGTGCACACCTGTAATCCTAGCAGCTCTGGAGGCTGAGTCAGGAGAATCTCAAGTTCAAAGCCAGCCTCAGTCATGGCAAAGCACTAAGTGAGACCCTGTCTCTAAATAAAATCAAATAGGGCTGGGATGTGGCTCCGTGGTCAAGTGCCTCTGAGTTCAATCCCTGGTACCAAAAAAAAATTAAAAAGAGAGAGAGAGAGAGAGAGAGTGAATAAGTGAAAAAGCAGGTAACTAAGATGGAAGCCACAGTCTTCGGAAGTGGCTTCTGCCATATGCTATTAGTCAGAAAGCCCAAACTTGATACAGTGTGTGGGGCACTTCACAGGATTCCCAGGCTTAGGGGTCATGAAGCCCTCTGTGGGGCCTGGCAGCCACACTGGCTCATTCCAATGAGATGGATCGGTTTCCTAAAAATGTCTGTTTGCTTTCAATTTTGCACAGGAGAAACATCTTGCCAGGGTTGAACATCAGCTGTACCTTTCACAAGACTCAAAATCCACAATGTCCCATTTTCCGGCTAGGAGACATCTTTCAGGAAACAGGAGATAATTTTTCGGAGGTGGCAATCCAGGTGGGTGGACTTGTCTTTGTTCAGTGGAGATGAGTGTCAGAGGATGAAAGATGTCAAGAGATGAACCTGGGGTTGTGGCTCAGTGCCGGCTGCTCACCTTGTGCGGGCTGGGTTTGATCCTCAGCACCACATAGAGAATACATGGATAAAATGGAGTTATTGTGTCCATCTACAACTTAAAAAAAAAAAAGTTAACGGGGAAAAAAAAAGATATCAAGAGTTCAGACCCCTGGGCCTAAAAAATATGGCTCAGTTTATTGTGTATTTGCCAAAGGCTGCATCTACATCACTTCGGTCATCTAACACTCAGCGCTGGGAGGGAGCTGCTTGGTGTTAGCTTTCTGTAGCTGCTGTAACAAATGACCACAAACTGGATGGCTTAAAACAACACACACTTTCTTCTCTGTCTGGAGGTCTGAAGTCCAAAATCATTTTTGCTGATATGAAGTGGAGGTGTCTGCAGGGCCATGCTCCCCCTGGAGGCTCTGGGGAGAAGCACGTCCTTGCCTTTCCCTCTTCTAGGGGCTTCCTGCCTTGTGTTTCTTGGTTCTCACTCCCTCCCCCCATCTTCAGAGCCAGCAGTGAGGCACCTTGCTTCAGAGGTCATGCTGGCTCCTTATTCCTTCTCCTTTCACAAAACACTAATCTTCATGAGAGGGAGCATGTATAAGATGAGGTGTTTATGGCCCCCTGCCAGGGGTCCAGGATCATCTCCCTAGCTTAAGACCTTAATTTGCTCACACTGCCAGAAGCTTCCTCTAGGGATCAAGGAGAGAGAATGCAGAAGAGATATTTGGTAGAGTGCCCTGAATTCCTGTCTGACAAGTTCGTCTTGTTTTGTTTGGTGGGGGAGGTTTACTGGGGATTTAACCCAGGGCACTTTACCAAGGAGCTACATCTCCTTTTTAATTTTTTTTTTAAATTTTAAGATAGTGTCTTGCTAAGTTTCTGAGGGTCTCACCAAATTGCTGAGGCTGGCCTCAAACATATAATTTTCCTATCTCAGGCTCCCAAGTGGCTGGGATTACAGGCTTGTTCCACTGTTCCCAGATTCAACTTTATTTTTAATAGGGGGTGGGGGTCATTAAAGGTGTTTGAGTGCAGGAAAGGTTTGTTTAAAGTTGTATTTTAGGACTAAGTCTAAGGGTGGCGTGTCCTGGATAGGAGGAAGAACAGGGAGACGCCTTTGGGACTGTCCTAGTAATCTAGCTCACCTTCATGGCTTGGAAACCTTTAATCTGCATTTTCCCTTTAAAGAAAAAACCTTTCCTGCAGCGCTGATCCCTGAGCAGGGAGATGTCTGGTGATTGCGTAACCTACCTCCAGCCAACTTAGAGACTGCTTCTTGTTGACCCCCCCAGGGAGGGATCATGGGCATTGAGATCTACTGGGACTGCAACCTGGACAGCTGGTCCCATCGATGCCGGCCCAAATACAGTTTCCGTCGCCTTGATGACAAGACCACCAATGAGTCCCTGTACCCTGGCTACAACTTCAGGTAACAGGGCTTCAGGTCAGACTCTCAGCAGCTGGCCCCAGGGAGCTTCTGGGTGGGGCCCAGCTGCATCCCAGCAGTCAGTCCAGTAGAGCTGGGCATGAAGTACACTCTTTGTAAATCAAACGCAAAGTTGGGAAACAGAGAAAGGGTGAATTTTCCTTGGTCTGTACCAATTCTTCCATGAGGCTCATAAGAGATCATGGCACACATATACTTTGGTATTCTGTGAGATTTTGTTATTCTTATAATTATTTTTACACCTAGGACACTTCAGATTCTTTGTGGCCATCACACTGACCATCACAACATTCCGTGTGTGGTGTACTGACAACATTTCTGCAGCTTAGGAAGGGTCTTGTACAAACCAGGCACTCACCAGCACCTCCCCACCCCTTCCCCGTGGGGGGAAGCCAGGAAAGGTTAAATTATCTGCCCAGGGCCCTCAACTAAGAACCATACATCTAGGCCAGGTCACCTTATCTCCAAATTAACACTCCTTCCCTCTCATCTCCTGACTTTCTCACCCATTCCTCCAACACTGAACATTTGGCTATTTTTACTCTTTTTATTTTAAATAACTTTATGTGGACAACTTTGCGCAAAAATCTTTATTTGAATTCCAGATTGTCTCTTTAGGTAAATTTCTAGAAGCAGAATACTTGGGTTGAAAGTTATGAACATTTTATCATATACTTTTAGATTTTTAAAAGTTTCTATGGCTGTATTTTTAGTTCTAGGATTTTTATTTAATTTTTTTAAAGTCACCTGCTTCAGTGAGTTCCATTCCTACCTGTAGATTACTCTTTTTGCCCATTCTGTTGTCTAATTCCTCTCGCATGGGCCTATCCTCTGAAGGAACTTGGGTGGATTTCTCCCTGTGGATTTTGGGATCTTTCCTGGGAGCTTGTCTTCAGCAGGGATGGCCTCAGGACATTCCTCTGGAGCCATAACTGTCATTTTGTAGTTGTTGCTGTTGGGACTATGTGGCAATTATCAACTGTGAGCCAGTTTTTAATTTAATATCTGGGCTTGAGATCTTTCACTCTACTAAAAGATCAGATTCCCGCTCCCTTACTGTGAGAGCCTTCAGCAGCTCCAGTGCCCTTCCCTCTAACTGTGTTCAAATCTAGCTCCTGGGAGTTGGATCAGGTTCAGCTGCTCGTAAGGGTCACATGACTTCAATCCCCACTCACTACCATGTTGAGCAACTGAAAAAGTGTCCTTTTTTGTTTTAAGCACCATAATGATTGGTATTTTAATTTCTCCTGTGCTGCAGATTGAACCCAGGACCTTGTATGTGCTACACAAGTTTTCTACCATTGAGCTGCACCCCAGATATTTTATCTTGCACTTTCATGTGTATGAGGAGGGTGGTGAAGCTTCTTATACAGCTGGCTCCTTGGTGTACAGTGGGGTTGTGTCCTGATAAACCCATTGTAAGTTGAAAATATCATAGGTTGAAAATGCATTGAATATGTACTTAACCAACCAAGTAGCCTAGCTTAGAAACGCAGTACACAGTAGACTATAGGTTGTTTTCCCTCATGACAGTGATGGGGACTCAATGCCACGGCCCAGCACTGAGAGAGTATCTCACTGGCCCAGAACAAGATCCAAATCCAAAATCCAGTATGGTTCCTACAGAACACATATGGTTTCACACCATCATAAAGTCAAAAAATTCATAAGTGTAACCATTGTAAGCTCAGGCCTCCATCTTGATCGGAAGTCCCTTTTGCATAGTGATGGAGGCTGAATCCAGGGCCTCATCCAGGCTAGGTGGGAACACTTTGAAGCCTTGATGTCATGGGCCACATCTAATCCTCATGTGTGGTGTTTTGAAGTTTCTTGGTAGGGCCTGGTGTGTGTGCCTCTGGCTTCTGGACTTCAACCCTATGAACTCACCCACGGTCTGGTTCCTTTGCACTCCCATGCCCTCTTGCCCCCATGGTGTGACTCGGGCCTGTTTGGATCCTCTACACAGCTCCTGATGCCCCTGTTCCTGACTCTTTCTTGGTAGTGAGCCAGTGCCATCCTAACTTAGTTTCCATCTTACCTCCTGTCTGGATCATCTTTTCAGCCTGGTCCCTACAACTCTGTTAGTAACTTGGCCCTAACATGGTCTCCATGACCTATCACTGCCTGTGAGGTGAGACCCTGTTTCAAGAAAAAAAAAAAAAAAAGGAACAAACTACTGGAACATGCTACAATATGGATGAATCAGTCCCACCGACATTGAGTGAAAAAAAACTAGACTAAATAAGCACATACTTTGTGTCATTTAGATGAAGTTGAAGAAAAGGTAAACTCCATCAATGACGATAGAAGATAGAATAGCAGTTGCTGTGCTGGGGGGCTGCAAGCTGTAGGACTTGGCATGAAAGGAATATATGAGAGTTTTATGGGACAAGGGAATGTTCTGGGATAATGGAATTTTGATAGGGATACAGATTATAGAGGACACTTGTTTGTCAAGATTTTTTTTTTTTTTTGGCAGTACTGGGATTGAACTCATTTGTCAACACTCATTAAACAGAACCCTTAGGGCTTATGCATTTTCCTGCATGTAAATTAGGTCTCGATAGAACAGGTAGACAAATCCAACTAGACCATTTCTGGTAAATGCCATCAAGAAAATCAAGCAGGACAGTGTGATGGGGCACAGTGACCAGGGAAGACCCCTCCAAGCAGGGTGGGTAGGACCCTATGGCATCTTTCCCTTTCTTGAGGACTGTGCTTTCCTAGTTACAAAGACAAACTTTACAGATGAGAACTCAGGTTCTGGGAAGCAACTTGGAAAACATGTTAGCATTCAAGAATCAGCTCTCAAAAAGTGTGGCTCAGGCTCAGCATCCATGGAACTCAGAAATGCACGTTCTTAGGCCCACCCTGATCTATAGAAACAGTCTAGGGGTGGTGCCCAGTGACCTGCATCTTCATGTCTCCATAGGAGTCTGCTGCTCATTTGAGTTTGAGAACCATTGATCTAGACCTGAGTCCTCAAAGTGTGGTCCTGGAACCAGTGTCATGGGCCTCAGTTGGGAGCTTGTTGTACTGAAGATCATCACAGGAACCCCCCCCCCCATTACCCAACTCAATGAGTGAAAATTTGCACTTGAAGAAGATCCTTAGGAAATTCGTGTGCATATCAAGGTTTGAGAACTGCTAATATCATCTGGCATCCCAAATGTACTTTCTTTTTAGATGCTTCACCTGATGACATTCTGGCTCTGGCTCTGGCTCTGTAGCTAGGGTGCGAACTTCTTGAGAAAATGAATAAGATGCCTAGTTTATCTGTACCTGCATGTGCAAGCGTGTGTGCACACATGTCCCCTCACTGCCTCTGAACCCCCCTCCTGGCATATTCACTGACTTTGGAGGGGTCAAGTAATGAGATCTCTTCATATTTTATTCAAAGCAGCATCATGAACCAGCAGGCAGCCCTTGACGGTGTTTTCACCGTACACCTTTGGTGTACTTGTTTTAGCCTGGCAGTATCTTTTTTTTTTTTTTTAATGTTTATTTTTAAAAATTTTTTTAGGTGGACACAATATCTCTATTTTATTTTTATGTGGTGCTGAGGATCGAACCCAATGCCTCACGCATGGCAGGCGAGCGCACTAACACTTGAGCCACATCCCGAGCCCCCTGGCAATATCTTAAAGCTTGAGAATACATAAACTTTAAAATTTGTAGAATATAGAAAAATCAAGACTTCCTGCCTTTCCTAAAAAATTAAACTATTTGAGAAAACAAAATGTGAACCCTGAGTCCATATTCACCTGACAAGCCATGGCTGGAGCTGAGTGTCGGTCCCTCTAGGAAGTGCATGTATTTTGGGGGATGTCACTGCCTCCTTGTGCTTCTGGCCTCTTATCTTCATGGCCCCTGTGGGCATTTGAGTTCAAGTTCTAAGAGGTTGACTAATGCTTTCTGCCTCCTCTGGGTCAATGGAGTTTCAGCCACGGCCCTGAAAACAGCTCCTAGTTTAGGTAATTTTTGGATCATCCCCTGCTGCTCTGCTAAATGGGCTTATTGCAATTAGCAAGAAGAGAGAACAGGATCAGCGGTCCCCTGGCTGCCCTTCCAGGCTGTATTCTTCACAGTCAGCAGAAGCATGCAAAGCCACGTACCAACCAGACGTCAGCAAATGTCCTCCGAGTCTCTGAGCTAAGCCTAAGAACATCAGCTCCTGGTGGGATGTGAGCTTTCTGAAGCCCCAAGGGGGTTATGACATTGGTTTTCTTTTAGAACAAAGCATTAGCACATTTGTTGCCTGGAATGAGCACCAAAAGAAATCTTTGGCCAAAAATAAATTGTTGAGATCTGATGGGTAAAAGAAAAAGTTATTTTCAAATAGCCATACAAAAGAGAAGGAAATTACATGTTAAATGAGAAAAATGTAACTTTCTAAAACAGAAAGTTAAAGAAGTCAAACAAAATGCAGAATTTTATATTCAACAAAAAGATTCACTGTCAAATATCCGTATTCAGTGAACATGTGATTTAGCTGATTTTCAAAAAGTGTAAACTAGGACAGGCCCACACTGAATTCATGACGCACTTGTCAGATCTAAAACAGTTTGTGTATGTATTAGTATTGTGTGGTTGCTATGACAAATTGCCACAAATATAATAGACATATATTCTCTCACAGACACCAGAAGTCAGAAATCGGGTGTCAATAGGGCCATAATCCCTCTGAAAGCTCATGGGGAGAATCTTTTTTGCGTCTTATAGCTTCTGGTGGCTCAGGCTTCCCTTACCTTGTACTGCATCACCTCAAGCTCTGCCTTCCTCTCCACTTGGTTTTCTCCTTTGTATCTGTATGTACTTATTTCATAAGGACTCCAAACATTGGTTTAGGGCCTACCTTAAATCCAGGATAATCTCATTTTGAGATCCTTAACTTAATTGAATCTGCAAAGACCCTATTTCCAAATAATATATATACATAGATCCTGAGGTTTAGGGACTTGAACTTTGGCAGGCGGGGGCGGAAGGCCAGTACTGGGGGTTGAACCCCAAATCTCATACATCCCAAGCAAGTGCTTTACCACTGAGCTACAGTTCCAGCCCTTGTTATTTTTGAGACAGTGTATCACTAAATTGCCTATCCTGGCTTTGAACTTACTTTCCTCCTGCCTCAGTCTCCTGACTAGCTGGGATTACAAGCTGGCACTACTGAGCCAGTATTCACCCATCATGATGTGCACAACGGCACCCCGTCCAGTTCCAGTGATGCTCACAGTGTGGAAACATCTTGCACCTTCTGAAACCACACTTTGGGGTTCAATCCCAGGAGTTTTCCTTTTGGCCACATCTCCCCACATGACTCTCACTCCCAGTTTTAGAACCACTGCACCAAGACACTGAAAGCAGATATTCCAGTACCTACTGTACGATGCTAACTTCTTAGGTAAACCAGCCTGCATAGGGCCCTAATGCCAGCCCTAGGGTCTGGAGTGGTGATTCAGACTTAGCTTGAGTATTAAAAAAATGAATCACGCAATAGAGAAGGAAGAACTGTCTTGGAATGGCACAATTAGATGCAAGGAAACTGAAAGCCCTCCAGCCAGAAACAGGCATGGAGGTAAGTGCCTGAGAATACCTAACTGGTCTCGACGTCAGATTTTGAGACCTCTAAATAAAGTTTCAGGTGTTTGCACTCTATTTTGGCAGAGCATCTGTCTTCTGTTTTCTTTTCTCCCTACACTTGTAAGTAGATTGTGAATTAGTAATCAGAAAGAAAATACATACCCTTATGTAAAAATAACCAGCACAATGTGGTGAGAGGGAGGGACACACTTAAAAGTTTCCTGAGGCATTTATTTAAGTGTTCCTGATTACTTACAAAAAAAATAAAACCTAGTGCTTTTCCTGACTACAGCCCTAATGAGAGCTTCACATTTGGAGTGACTGTGATTTGTGCCAGGCCCTAATTTATGAAGGTGACTGAGTGATGACGTAGAAAGGTCAATGCTGCTGAGAGAAGAACTCAGTGCTGCATTTCTCAAGAGGCGGGAGCAGGCCATGCCACACAGGGACTTGGGGGAAGCTTTGATCCAGAGGGGGTCAAAGGGAAGCAAGGCACAGGAATGTTCCCTGGGAAAGGTGGGCAGGGCTGGGAATAGCTGTGCTGATCCTTCCTGGGTGACTGAGGGCATGAGAAAAACAAACACAGAATCCAAGAAAATACAGGAGGACAGAGTGCTGAAGTAAACCTGTTCTCAATCCAGTAATGAGTGTCTAAAATTCACCACTCCTCCTCCATGTTTTCTCTAGAAGCTGAAACTATTTTTCTTTCTTAAGCAATAATCACATCGCTTGAAGTTATTTTTTAATTTCTCAGCTTATTGCTGATCCTGAATTGGTTAAAAATGTGTTCATTTTAATCTTAAATTAAAAGCCAATTTCCTGTCACTCTGAGGTGATGGAAGCAGAGCAGGTAACCTGGGGGTGCTCTGTGGTCTGGGTATTCAGAGAGTATAATTCTCTCTGAATTGTGCTATCCCTCTGCCAGCTGCATCAGACCTAGAAGGCACACAAGGAAGACTGGATTGGCTACTGGTTTGGTTTTTCTTTCCATAGAATTCTAGCACTTTCAAAGAGATCTTTGTAAACATGGATTCTTTTTTTCTTGCAGATACGCCAAGTACTATAAGGAAAACAATGTTGAGAAACGTACTTTGATAAAAGTCTTTGGGATCCGTTTTGACATCCTGGTTTTTGGCACTGTAAGTCTGTCTTTTCCAGCCCTGGGCACCTTCATCCTATGACTGTGTCCCAATTATTGCTGTTGTGGCTCCAGGGAGTGAACCTTTTTGAGTCACAGCCATTAACTAGTGCTGTGCATTTTGCTTGTGGGATAAGAGAAGGGGAATAAATGTCCTTAGGGTTCTATCCACAAATGAGCCATCTGTAGGGTACAGAATGGGACTGGGAAAAAAATTGTTAAGAGTCAACAAGAAACAAAGATAAGAGAGAAGGGGAGAGAGAAAAGGGAAAGGAGGAAAAGAGAAAGGGAGGGAGGGATAGAGGGATGAAGGAAGGAAGGAAGGAAGGACCCCTACAGAATAGTTTATAGTAATAGAATCCAACTCAAATGGCCTTAGGGGAAACTTTGTTTTGGTTTGTTTTTATTCATAAATTGAAAGTCCAGGGGTATTGCAGGCGTCAGATATGGCTGGATCCAGGTATTTTTGAACAAGATCTTCAGCAATCTGTCTCCCTTTGTCTCTTACTTAAATCTGTTCTCCTGTCTGGGCATTGTTCTCAGGCTGGCCATCTCTATGTGGTGGTGTCAAGCAGTCCTGTTGTCTTACTAGTTTAGCAACCTCAGGGAAAAAAGAACACACTTTTCTAGGAGTTTCAGGAAAGGATTCAGGCAGCAGCCAATGATTCTGACTGGCTCAGTATGGGCCACATACCAGTTGCTACCCTAATCACTGTGATCAGATTCTGCCATGCTCTCAATGGCTGGTCTTGAATGAGCCTTGACCAGCCTAGGATCCAGAGGAGAGGGCCCATATGGAGAAAAATGGTTGTCCAACAGACAAATGAGGTGCTGGCTCCAGAAGAAGGAGGGAGAGAGTGCTGGACATGAAGAGTCAGCAGGTCACCCCAGCACCCTGCTCCACAGCATATGGCTTATGTAACATGGGTTCTTGAACCACAAGAATAAGATAGAGCTGAGAGGATGAAAGGCTATTGAAAATAGAGACCACAAGGACACTGCCAGTAAGAGTCAGAGTTTCTGCAGACATTTCTTTCCTTCTGCTCCTGAAGTTACCTCACACTACTTCTAGGGAAGGCTTGTCTGAAATTCTCAACTTGTATGGTCAACAACAAGCCTTCAGTGGTTGAATGTATTAGCTTAAAACATCCATGGTCCAGAAAGAGCCTGGACAGCAGAAACAGGACAACAGAATCACACTCCCCGTCTGCAATCTGCTGCGTGAGCACACGGGTGCATCTAGAACCCACGACTGCAGGTGACAGCAAGAGAGCTCTGGATCTCAGCTGAGTAACATCCTCACTCTGTTTCCAGGGAGGAAAATTTGACATTATCCAGCTGGTTGTGTACATCGGATCCACCCTCTCCTACTTTGGTTTGGTAAGAGATTCTCTTTCCCACACTTTAAGAAAATGGTTTGGCCAAAAGAAGTTTCACTACCCTGGTGCTTGTCTGGGTTCCCGCCAGGCCACTGTGTTCATTGACTTTCTCATCAACACTTACTCGAGCACCTTCTGCCGGTCCCGTGTGTACCCCTGTTGCAAGTGTTGCGAACCCTGCGCAGTCAACGAGTACTACTACAGGAAGAAGTGTGAGTCCATCGTGGAGCCAAAGCCGGTGAGGCATGCCATGTTTAGGGGATGCCAAGGTCCCCAGAGGTTCTTCTAGGTGGCTAAGAATGCATAACAATTCAGCCTAAATCACAGGTTTAATCCCATGGTGGTAAGTCCCTGGACTACCCCAGTGACTATTTCTCTGATGAAACTTTGGGTCCCAGGGAAGAATAGGAACAAAAACAGAGAAGCTAGGAGGTGAAGATAAATTTTTATGGTCCAGGATTTGTCAATTTTGTCATTTATTAAATTGGTACAGTCCCTACAAAATAGCATAGTGACTTTGGAGAACAATGTGGCTGTGACTGGTAACTTTTAAATGAGCCATACATTATAGCTGGGGACTTCTACTTCCTCCTCCCCACCCCAAAGAAGCCCTCACATGAGTGCCCAAGGTGTCCACAGCAGCACTGTTTGTGGCCACATACCAGTTGTTGCCCTAATCACTGTGATCAGATTCTGCCATACTCTCAATGGCTGGTTTTGAATGAGTCTTGACCCAGCTATTAATAATCAATAAATGATTATTAGCCACAAAGAAACAGCATCCACCCAGGTGTCCACAGGGTGAACAGTGAAAGAGACTATGATAAAACCAAAGTAATGCCAGGGACATGCTTAAAAGAATGAGGTGACAGTTATAACAGCAGACATTTATATAGCACTGATAAGTGCTGGGTATACATTAGCCCATTCGACCTTCACAGGCATCACTGTTATCCCTTTGTATTTGTGAGGAAACTAAGGCACAGGAAGGTCAGAGAATTTGCTCAAAGTCCTACAGCTAGTGAGTGGTGGACAGGAAATTCCAGCTTAGGCAGGCTGGCCTCAGAATGTATGCCTGATCTGCGAAGTTAACAGCTATTGGCAAGAGCAGACAGGATACTTAGTTGAGAGGGGGAAAAAAGCAAATGGAAGAACAATATGCATGGTATAATATATGTGTTAAAAACAGCAGATACACACATAAACTAATCCACATGTTCTCCATGTATTCCCTCATATTTATTACACGTTTATTTTATATACAAACATATAATCACATATGGGTGTGGACATATGTATATATACAAAAAGGTACTATGGCACACACGAAAGTGGTCATGGTGGATGCTTCTGGAAGAGAGCCTAGGACTGGAGTATAGACGCAGGGGATTTCAGCCTCAGCTATATTATTTGATTTGGTTAATCTGGACTTTATGATGCAGGTTTGCTAAATTCAACTCCATGATTTCCCCCTAAAGAGAAATCTTGTACCTAAAAACAAAAGGAAAGAGGGTTCCTTTGTTTTTCCCCCATCCAAGAACACTGCTGTCTTTTTCCAGCAGCTGAGTGCACAACTTATTGTCCATTATACATGTGCCCACGACTGAAATGCAAGTTCACTCTTGCAACTAAAAATAATTGCCATTTCATTATCTGAGATGATATGAAATTTCACAAACATATAAACAATTTAAGTTGCAGTATCAGAACTTCCTGGAGATACTGAATCTAGAGTAGCCATACCTGACAGAACACTACATAGGAATGTTACCTGGTGTTCAGGGAAGCTAAGCACTGGGCAGTAGGAGGTGGATGGGCTGAGTTTACATATTAAGGTGCAAGGGGTCCCAATTCTGATTTGCCTCTAGACTCAGAACTCATTCCTTCTTGTTCAACAAGAGTTTGGGGTTAGCATGTTCAACAGTTTGTCATTTGGTAAATGACAGCTGCCTTTAAATATGTTTAGATAGGCAATTCGTCTTCATTTTTTTTTTTGATAGGCAATTCTTGATAATTCTTTACATAAATGGGTAAACTTCTTAACCTTCTTTTCCTAGACATTAAAGTATGTGTCCTTTGTGGATGAACCCCACATTCGGATGATAGACAAGCAGCTACTTGGGAAAAGTCTACAACATGTCAAGGGCCAAGAAGTCCCAGTAAGTTAAAAGATTTAGTCCTTTTTCTTTTTCTTTTTCTTTTTTTAAGAAAATTTACTTTTAAATATAAACACATCTAGAAATCTGTATGAATTTTTAACAATTAAACCTATTTATGTAACCAGCATCCAGATTAAAAAATTTAATATTCTTGAGTTAGAGGTGTAGTTAAGCTGTAGAGCTCTTAGCTAGTATGCACAAGGTCCTGGGCTCAGTCTCCAGCTGGGGATTGATATTGGCCAAATAATATTGTAATGCTGTTTGCATATATGAATATGTAACAATGAATTCCACCATTATATACCAATAAAAATATGGAAAAATAAATAAAAATTGGTCCTTTACCGATTTAAAAAAAAAAACGTATTTCTAGGAGAAGTCCCTTTTATGCCCTTACCCAATCACTACCCTCCCTAAAAACAGTCATTATCCTGTATCCAAAAATTAGTTTTTCCTGTTGCAGAATTTTATAAAAATTGAAATATAGTTAAGTACTCAGCATCTACTCTGTTCAATGTCTGGCTCCTTTCACTCAACATTATTTTTGTGAGTTATCCATGACCCCGCACAGGGCCCCCCCTGGATCTCACTGTTGTATAATTTTTATTTTTTTTTAATATTTTATTTATTTATTTTTATGTGGTGCTGAGGATTGAACCTAGGGACCTGCACGTGCAAGGCAAGTGCTGTACCGCTGAGCCACAACCCCAGTACCCCACCCTCCCCTGCGGCCCCCCTTCCTTCTAATTTCTGTTTAGTAAACATCCCACTTATGTATCCATTCTTATATCAGTGGACATTTAGGTAATTTCTAGCTGGGGTTAATGCCAATCATGCTGCCATGGTGAACATATGGCACTCTGCAGGGTGACTGCCCAAGAGTGGAAGTCTGAGTCACTAGGCAAACGTATGTTCACTTCCGCAGTCGCTAACAAACAGTGCTCCAAAGTGGAGGTTCACACACTCCCCAGCAGTTCTGGTGGCTAAGCATCTCCACTAGCTCTATTCATTTCCTAGGGTCGCCATAACCAGTTACCACAAACTAGGGTACTTAAAACAATAGAAATTGATTCTGCTGCAGTCGGGAAGCAAGATGTCTGAAATTAGGGTGTTGGCATGCCCTGCTCCCTCTGGAGGCTGATGGGAAGGATCCCTCCTTGCTCCTTGTAAACACCCAGCATCTGGTGTTTACAGCACTGGCCAGGACTCCTGATGCATACAGTACCACACAGAAATGGTGACAGCAGGAACCTTTTGTCTCATTCCCTGTCTCAGAAAGAAGGCACTTCCCATGTCACAGTCATTATAGTATTTGTGGTAAGGTTTTTAAGAATGCTCTTTCAGAGTAAGAAAATTCCCTTCTGGGCCTAGTTTGCTAAGAATTTTCGACACAGGGCTGGGGATGTAGCAGCTCAGTGGTACAATACTTGGAGGCCCTGGGTTCCATCCTTAGCACCACAAAATTTTTTTTTTCATGAATGGATATTTAATTTTAGAATAATGTTTTTTTCTGCTTCTTTTGAAATGATCCCTGAGGGTTTTTCCCCCATCTGTGATGTGGTAAATTACACTCACTGATTTTCAAATATTAAGCCAACTTTGCATTCCTGAAATAAACTCAATATGAATGTGATATACTATTTTTTGTATTGACAGCTCAATTTGATGGCTAATTTCTTTCCATTCTTGTAATGTCCTTTGGGGACTGAGTAGGAAGTGAACAACTAATTATTCACTGCTTTTGGGTATGTGGTAAAACACATATAACATAAAGTCAAACATTTTGATCACTTCAAAGTGCATGATTCAGTGATAAGCAGCACAGTCCCAGTTTTGTGCAGTCATCGCTCCAGCTTACTGCAGAGCTTTTCATCACCCAAAAGGAAACCTCACCTCCATTGAGCAGCTACTTCCCATACCCATTTCCCATTCCTCTTTGCCTCTGGAAACTACTAACCTACTTTCTATCTCTACTGACTTGACTATTCTAGAAATCTGGAGAGAATGGAATCATACATTCTGTGGTCCTTTGTATCTGGTTTCTTTCACTTAGCACGTTTTCATAGCACGTATCCTACACCTGAATGTGACAGAACACGTGTTCGTCCACTCGTGAAGTGATGGATACTAGGGTTGTTTCTACCTGTCAGTTATCATGACTAGTGCTCCTGCTAACATTCATGTACAAGAACTGCTCAGTTTTAGTGACCTTGATTCAGGCCTTCTTTGTCACAAATAACAGCAATGTAGTAGGAAGTGAGGGTCAGGACACCAAGAGCTGGAAACAATACTTTATTAGTGGCACCACAGCCCAGAGGGATAATTCCCAAGTCTGAGCCCAAGCACAGCAGGGCTTTTACTTTTATACATCGGTAAGTTTGGGGCACATCAAGGCAAGGGGGTTGGTGCAGTTCTATTCTATTGGAGGTGTATCCTACATTCCTTATATGAGTACAAGCTTGTCAACAGCCCAGGGACTCAGCCCACAAAGCTTAGGGACTTCTACTGCACTAACCCTAAAGGGGGATTGCTCTTTCCCCGTTGCTCTGTTTCCTGCTTCTGCTACTGCAGTTATCTTTTACAGGTACCTGTTAGCAACTGCAAGGTTCTATGGTTAAATGTCAGTAAGCAGAGCTGCTGTGTGTCGGCATGCAGAACCACAACCTTCAGCTCTACAACTTCTAAAGCCTCCATGTTGCTCTATCACTGCAATTACGGCAACTTATCTTGGAAGATAACAAACAGATCTTCCAGTAGAGTATCTGGAAGCCCAGGAAAGAGTGGGATGAGCCAACAGATATTTACTGTTCACTGTGTGCTAAGCACTGTCCTAGGCATCAGGGACTTGTAAACTGACAGGATCCGGTTTTCATATGAAAGAACAGTAATTAGGTAAACATAAATTATTAAATATAATTTTATAAGTTAGTAAAATTAAAAAATCTGCAACCCCAGGCATTGTCACTGCTGACGGGTATGGCAATTTCACTTTTCAGAGACCCCTGATGGACTTTGCAGACCTGACCAAGCTGCCCCTGTCTCTGCACGACCCACCCCCCATTCCTGGACAACCAGAGGAGATGCAGCCACTTCGTGAGGAGGCGACTCCTAAATCCAGAGACAGGCCAAGCTGGTGCCAGTGTGGAAGCTGCCTCCCGTCTCAGCTCCCCGAGAGTCGCAGGTGCCTAGAGGAGCTGTGCTGCCGCAGGAAGCCGGGGGCCTGCATCACCACCTCTCAGCTGTTCGGGAAACTGGTGCTGTCCAGACATGCTCTGCAGCTCCTCCTGCTCTACCAGGAGCCCCTGATGGCCCTGGAGGCGGAGGCCACCAATGATCGATTGCGGCACTGTGCCTACAGGTGCTACACCACCTGGCGCTTTGGCTCCCAGGATGTGGCCGACTTCGCCATCCTGCCCAGCTGCTGCCGCTGGCGGATCCGAAAAGAGTTCCCCAAGAGTGAAGGGCCGTACAGTGGCTTCAGGAGTCCTTACTGACAGCCCAAGGCTGCAGCAGTCACATTAACATCACTGCTGCTAACACCTAGAGCGTCACTGCAAAGATCTGTGGCCAAATTTTCAGCCAGAGGGAAATATGCCTTCCTCTCCCACTGCTCTGCACGCTCTACCAACCAACCCACCAACCTCCGCCTGGCCCCAAAGACCAGTGATTCAGATCTGTCTCCATTCTGTATCTAGGAAGTTGTGTGACACCAGTAGACCTTTAACATTTGTATTTCAGCCGCCTTGTCATCCAACCTACTATCTTAGAGCTACTGTAAGGACAGACTGAGACGGTGTACGTGGACTGTTGTGAGTGTGTAGAGAGCTCTTCGAACACAGAGCACTTCATCATGAGGTTGGATGGGAATAATATCCAACTAGCAATAAACCCTTGGGGTCCTAAGTGGAGGACCCAGCCAGGAGGTGCCCACAAACTGTCTGACGCTTACCCCTCGAGATCCAAGCTTTCTGTCTCCTTTCCTTGAGTCTAGGAAGCTCTGGGGGTTTTATCAAATAGTGGACGTGATGCTGTGTCAATTTCAAGATGTCAGTCTTAAAAGAATATGGCAGCTTCCACTTCCTGTCCCTTGGAACTCTTGCTGAGGGGGAAGCCAGCCCCATATGGAATCTGACTGTTCTAAGAACACTCTGCTGGAAGCCCAAGCAGCCGCATGGGGGAGGAAAGTGTCCCCAGCTCATGCCACACAAGCCCAGTCGCCAAGCCTGGGTGAGAAGCAGCCTTCAGGTGATTCCAGACCCTACAGACCTGTGCCTGAAACTGCATGAAACCCCCACGTGAGAAGTGCCCAGTCAACCCAGAGAACCAAGCTGCTGTGTTAAGTCACTAAATTTTTAGGTTGTTTGTTACACAGCCACAGATGCCTGGGGACACAGCCACAGTCCACACCTTCCCTGGTTCTGAGGTTCATAGGGAGCCCCTTGGGAGTATAGGTCTCTGTTGGACAGTTCTAAGAAGGCTGCAGACCAAATCAGGCAACACACCAGCCCAGCCCGGGAAGCCATCAAATCCAGCTGTGTGCTACCCAACACAATGGTCTTATCACTGGAAAAAGCTGCCTTTGTGCCTTAACATCCTAGACTCTGCAATCAGTCAGAATGAGTGCAGCGGGATGCTGCTTTCAAAGCAACCCACGCCCTAAACGTCACCATTTCTATACATCAACCACCAAGGATATGAAGACAAATAGTCACAGGTTTGGGGCCTGTCTCAGGATTTCCTTTCCATGGTTTTGTCATGACCATTGGCTATTTATTTCTAAACAACTATTTCAAAGAATTGTTTAGAAACCACTATGAATAGCATTGAAATACTATGACTGGTGATCTGTGAGTGCTTTTATACTCCAAGACTTTACATTTTGATATTTTTTGAAAAACCAGCAGCTTTCTACTGTATTAATGCAAAATAGCATAAATAAAAACTTTTTTTGAACCAGGGCTTTATCTGGCTTTAAACTCAGGAATCAAATTAATTGTGCCAGATTGAATTTTCCTTTTTGCTACCTTTTCAGGGATATTTTTATAAAGTTAATTATATATAACTTCATACTTTTTTTTTAATGATGGGGATTTGCACATACTAGGCAAACACTCTGTCACTGAGCTAAACCCCAGGCCAAGAACTGAAATGTTTTACTCCAAGAATTCTATGTAAGAATTCTATGTAACAAATGCAGGTTTCCATTCTGATGGCCTTTGACTCTTTCTACCTTATTTTTGGTGCCTTCTTCGCAGTGTGTTTCTATCACTTTGCCGAGGCCACAGATGGAGCCATAATTTGGAATAGCAAATAATCACTGGATCCTTCTGTTTTCCTTCATCTTCCCCACGGATGCTCTGGGTGCAACACGATGTGCTACTGGACTGTGAAATGTCTGAACTTCCTACAGTACCTGGGATCATATTAGTATTTTTATTTTTAGTCTACTACATACAATATTGTTGCCAAAGGCAACCGAGCGCACATTGGGTAGGCATTAATTTGCCTTAAGTGGGGGGCATTCTTCTATTATGGTACATGCACAGCCTTCACCACTTCCCACTTCATCCTGTGTCAGAGGGAGGAAGTCTGCTTTCCTACTGTGGACATGCTGACTTTATACAGAACTGATAATGGCTTTACTCTCTTAAGGGACTCATTTTTAAACCCTTCCAAATTCTAGATTGGCAATGCAGATATTCTTGATTGTTTTGATAATTCAAAAAAAATGATGGATAACTTATTTATTTAAACCTTCTCTTTCTGTTTTTTTTTCCTTCAGAATATTCCCAAATCAGAGTTAACACATTCATTTTCACATTCACTTAATAAAATATTCATAAAAATGTCACTGGAGACCAATGACAGATAAGACTGCTACTCTTATGGGAATATAAAAAGATACATAAATAAAATGATTCAAGCAAATGCAAATTTGCAATTTGTGATGAGTTATGATGAAGAAGGCAAATGATCATTTCAGAGTCTGTAAGAGAAGACTCTAATGTATTTGGGGAGATCATAAAAATCCTTCTTGAGGAAAGAACAAACTTTAGCTAAAAGCTAACATAAGTACTATTAACTAGGTGAATGGGAGGGAGCATTTTTAGGTAGAAAGACTGGCACATGCAAAGGTCCCAGGGCAGAAAAGGCATAGCAGGTTTGCTGCATTTGAAGAAGACCTATATGACTGTACCCTAAATAGCATGGGGAGTACAGCATGAAACAAGGACTTGTAGGCTATAGTAGAGTTGACTATATCCAAGGGACAGCCATGAAGGGTTTTAAGCAAGAGCCTGATAAAATCATATTTAATTTTTAAAAGAACTCAGATTGCTATGTGGGAAAGAAACTAGGAGTGGTGATAGATCTGGTTTAAACATTTATTTCAGCCTTTCTCATTTCATGAAATGGGTTGCCCCAATACGCAGCCAAATGGACTTGTCTTTTTTCTCTTCCTCTTGGCAAGTCACGAAAAGATCAGCAGTGAGAGAAAAGGAGGAAAAGCTTTGGGGAACCTTCATTTTTAGAATGTTCCTGTCCCAGCTGGTGGGGATGAGGTCACTTGCTGAGCTTCAGTCCAGAAGCAGGAGTGGACCAAATGGAGATTCCAAGGTCAGTCAGCAGAACCAATGAGGTGGAACACCTTGTGGCAGAAGACCTAAAATTAAGGTCTCATGTTACACAGTGCCTCGGCACCCAGGAGAACCAGGAGGCCCTAGCAAGTCCTCACACAACTCCTCTCCCCAGTCCTCCCAAAAGGTCACCAACTCGGCAGCCTGCCTCATCAAGCAGACCAGATGCAGCTCCTGCTTCTCCCATGGAACTGTCCCAACGAACCAATCACATCCTCCTGTGGTGACATCCTGGTGTCACAAAGCCTGTTTCCCACTGGCTCTGCTCGCTCACTCTGTTCCCAAGTACTCCTGCAGGCACGTGTGTCCTCTGAGCTGTGAGTGTGCCTGACTAACAAATGGCTGCCATCTACCTGTCCAGCATCGGGCGTTGTTTGCTCGGCTCCCCCAAAACCCCAGGATGGTTCCCTCCTCCTCCTCACCAGTGGGGTGAGAAGAGTGATTAAAACATCCTTGAGTCCAGGCCAACCAGGAGCCCTCAAAAATCAGAGGCTGGGCCTGCCTCTGCCCAGGCATTGACAAAGCCATCGAGGAAACATGGTCTTGCTGAAATGATCCATCTGCGCCCTGGGGGGCGTCACTCTCTGCTGCTTTTATGTGTCCCAGCCCATATTCAAGTCCCAAGACTTGTCAGTCATCCTGGGAATCCTGGGGGTTCCTGATTCCACTCCTCTCTTCTGAATGGACTTGGAAACCACTCTCCTCTTGCCCCTTTGGTCTCCTATTTCTCAGTCCCAGAGGGTTATGAATGATGTTTCCTAATAAGTGAGAATCCACAGGGAGGATTCTGCCTTCCTAACATCCTGGGCTCTTTTAATGAATTATCAAGGTCTCTCAAGCTTGAGTCTACCTGCATCAGAGGAAGAGAGGAGGTGGCCGACAAGGTGACTTTCCATTTTAACCAAGTAAACTGTTACACTGGACCAGCTTGGATAAGGGTCAATGCAAACTGACAGGGCCTGATGACAGCCTGTTAGTGTGGGGTCACAGGGGTTGACATTTTATTTCCTCTCAGCAAATGAGCCAAGAACTCATCCTGATTTTGTGTCCCCTATATACCTATGTGAACACAGGAGTACAGTGGACACTGGACACAGGCCTCCTGGCTCAAGTCCTGGCTTGGCTACCTAGCATGGAGCCTCGGGTGGCTCATCATGTCTAACCATGTAAGCGTTTATTATCTAGATGGTGCCCAAAGGCCACTAGGGAGCTGCAGACTCATACATCTGGCCAGCTCTGGATATTCTACTCAAATAGTTTAGAGGCATCTCGAACAGGCAGGAGAGAGAAAGCACGGTGTCTGCTCCTTCACCCCACCCTCGTATGCACGTCCAGAACTTCCAAGTCGCAGTTAGTAGTACAACTGCCATTGGCTCAATTTCCAACCAGAAATGCAGAGCACAGCACCGCCATCCCCCTCCTCCTCCCTATTCCATCAATATTATCAGTTCCTTCAGCAAACACTGACTGACACCCTGGCCCTGGGCAGTACTAGGGATAAAGAGGAGAGCAAGCCAGGCCCTCCCTCGCCTAGTGGGGCAGACAGCAATCCATGCGTAAGGAAGTGGGGTGAGGATGGCCAGAGACCAAGAATTTCACGGAATGAGCAGTGCATGGCAGGAACGATGGAGTTACCTGGTTCAGGGTCAGGAACACTTTCCAAGGAAGGGACCTTTATGCCAGATGTGAATATCAGGAAGGAGCCAGCTGTGACAAACTGGAGGAAAGGCATTCTGGACAAAGGGACAGAAAAGGTGAAGTGGGAAAGAAACGAGTGTGCCCCAGGAACAGTGAGATGCCAGAGTGCCTGCATGTTTAAGACATGGTCTCTGCCTTCTAAGTCCCGCTGAGGGCACGGGCATGGTGATCTTCTTACTGCCTTGTAGACTACATGATTCCCTGTCACCAAAACAGAAGCTCAAAGAAAGGTGAAATCCACACAGTCAAGCATGATCTCGGCAGCTCTGGAAAGCCTGTGAGATGTGAGCGCAGCCTCACCAGCTGAGGAGCCCGGGACATTCAGCAGGATGGGCAGAGGCATGTCTAATAGGCCAGCAGCACAAGCCAGGCCCAGAAATAAATGGCAGAGTAAATGCTGAGACCATACATGGACCAATTCTGCTCCAGGCTGGGAAAACTGTGGACGAGGGCTTAAGAGGGACAGACTAGGAAACCTTCAAAAGAAAAGGGCTGAGGTACTCCAGCCTGTTACAAAGTTGCCAAAGGCCATTCCTGGGCTGACAGGGGACTGGAGGAAAGCAGACAGCCGTGGGGATGATGGTCTATCAGAAGTCTACTGGGATCACATGGGAGTGACTGGTGAGCCCCGTGGACCACTGAATTAGTGTTAGTGATGGAGATGAAGGGAAGAAGCTGGAAAATTACTTTTAAAACTTCCCAAAAGTCCAACAGTAAGAAGTTGGTTAAATAAATGAAGGCACTTCCACGTAACAGAGGAGTACACAGCTATTTAACATGATGCCACTAAAGGGCAATCAGGATGTTACAGGCAGAACACAACACGATGACCCTTCTGGCTTGAGGAGACTGTGAGCCTTAATTAGAGCTCTGTTTTTCTTGTTTGTTTTGTTTTTTTAAATTTCCTGCAATGATAGTTGTTAAAAACCTTTAACCCTGAATGCACAATTAAGGAAGACAAGAATCACCTAGCTCCTCATTGAAATATATCATGGATAAATACAAATCAGTCATTCAGAGATGTCAGAAAAGGTTAGTAGCATTTTCTAAAATCCAGAAAGTCAACTTAAAAGCCATCTTTTGAGTTTTCCCCTTTGTGATTTGGGACAGGTAGCTCAACAAGACCTGCCATGGGACTAGCACTATATTTCTCTTCTCCTTAATTGTAACAAATATATTTTGAATACAAAATCTAATGCTTGAGTTTGGCAGTTCATCAAAAGGTTGAGTACAGAATTGTCACATGATTCATCAACTTCATTTCTGGACATATGCCCTGAGGAACTGAGAGCAAGCAAATAGGGACCTGTAGCTGAGTGTTCATAGCAGCATATGGACACCAGCCTAAAGGTGGAAACAACTCAACAGATGAAGTCCATCCAGAGAGTGGAATGTTACTTGACCATAAAAAAGAACAAGGTTCTAGCTGGGCACAGTGGGGCACAGCTGAAATCTCAGTTACCTGGGAAGCTGAGGCAGGAATACCACAAATTCTAGACCAGTCTGACAGCAAGACCCTGTCTCAAAATAAAATTTAAAAGAGGTGGGGATGTAAGCTCACTTGGGGAGTGCTTGCCTGGCAGGTCCTGGGCTCAATCCTCATATCCCACTAAAAGAAAAGAACGGGGTTCTGAGACATGCTAGGGCATGAATGAACCTTGAAAAAATGCTAAGTGAAATCAGCAAGATACAAAAAAGACAAATATGGTATGATTTCACTGATATGAACTACCTACCACAAACAAATTCAGAGAGGCAGAAGGTAGAACAGAGATGATCAAAGGTGGAGGGAAATGGGTTGGGAGTTGCTCTTTTGTTGGGAGTTACTATTGTTGTTTTACAAACAGGGGATTGAACCCAGGGCCACTTGTATGCTAGGCAAGCACTACCACTGAGCTACATCCCCAGCCATGAGTTAGTATGGTTACAGAGCTCCTGTTTGGGATGATGAGAAAGTTCTGGAAATGGATAATGGTGATGGTTGTATAATACTGTGAATATATTTAATGGTACTAAATTGTATACTTTAAAATGGTTAGAATTGTAATTTCATGTCATGTACATTTACCACAATTTTTTAAATTAAAAAAAAGAAACCCTTTATTGCTTTGACAATTGTGAGAGTTTGACATTTTATGTGATGAGATAAAGATACTGTTTTTCAGTCTTTTGGTCTATCTCAATTGCAGGCTTGGGTCAGTTTGCTGGTCATATTTCCTTGTGTCCTTAAGGCATATTAACATATCTTGTTAAGAAAATATTCCAGAAACCCAACATGACCAGAAAACCAGGAGAATTTGCCAATAAGAAGGCATAAGCCAGTGGGTGAAGGGTATAAAACTAACCTTTGGCTTTCTTTCTTTTTTTTTTTTTTTAAATCTTGGCAGATTTGTTTTCTGTCGATTATAATTTTCTTTTTTTTTTAAGAGAGAGAGAGATAATTTTAATATTTATTTTTTTTAGTTTTCGGCAGACACAACATCTTTGTTTGTATGTGGTGCTGAGGATGGAACCCAAGCCGCACGCATGCCAGGCGAGCGCACTACCGCTTGAGCCACATCCCCAGCCCAAACCTTTGGCTTTCTTAGGGTGAAACGCAAGGCCTGACCCTGCCTGAGGCCCTGACTTTGCCACCACTGCACTATTTCTGCTGACCTGAGGGCAACAGGTCTGCATGCAGCTTCAGTCAAAGTGCTAAAGGACGAGGACATGAAGCAGGCTTGCATGTGGGAGGGTGCCAGCCCCTGTGCCAGCCAGAGTTCGAGGATTGCCCAGCATAACCCCTGGACGCGGCCTTTGCTTGCTGTTTCACCTGTGTTATTAGCTCCCGTGTCACCCTGAGAGCAATGGGGCTCTGCCTCCAAGGAGGGTGTGTGGGAAACCTGCCATCGCAGGCAACTTACTGGTAATTACTGTGAGTACTGTGCCAGGTGGAGGCTTTTGAAGGTGTCACAGAGGCCCCATCAGAAAAGGGCTGGAACAAGTTGTACTGGAAGGGAAGGTGGCACCTAAGGGAACTCAGCAAGGGCTGAAGGAGCTGCCTCACAGAAGCAGAGCCAATGTGGACAACAAGCAAAGGGCAAGAGACTAGACAGCAGAACGCTTTAGAAGGCAGGGTGTCCCTGTGGGAAACCCACTTTAGGTAAGCTGATCTAGAGCGACTTGCAGAATAAGTAATGGATGGGGGTGAGTGGGTTTTGCTTTACAAAGGGACTCATAACAAGGTAAGAGTCCTTTCAATAGCATTTGAAAAATTATAAAAATCAAGTCTCCTTTTTTAGGACCTTCTCTACCAAAAAGACAGAGGGATGTTCACAGCCCAGCTAGGAAGCTGAGACCACTCTAGAGTTCATCTTATCTTTCCTGTTTGCAAAAGAAAAGGATTGGATACTCTTAATCCCAAGATGTTCTCTTCACTGTATAAAATGAGATCAGTGTGTACTTGATATTAAGCTCATGCAAACTGCTTAGCATACCATCTAGTAAATGGATGCACTGTGTTAGGTAAAATCAAAGTCCACATCATGACCTTGAAGGCCCAATTTGATCACCTCTGACTACTCCTCAGGACCTCAGCTCACACCCCTGCTCCTGACCCACTATGCTCCTTTTATACTGATCTTCTTTCTCTTCCTAGAATATATCAAGCTCTTCCCCACCTCAGGGCCTTTGCATTTGCTATTCTCTCTGCCTGGAATACTTTTCCCTGAGATTTTTCAGGAAAAATGGCTCTTTCCTGACATCCAGCTATCAGCTGAAATTTATCTTTTTTAAAGAAAGCTATCTCCAAGCTAACAGATACATAGAGAATTCAACACCCAGCCAGGAAGTCCCTTCTCTTAGAGTGCACATGGAACATTTATACAAACAGACTTGCATGTATTTCCTCAGTACATCCCAACATATATTATGATACAGAACAGGTTATCCAACCACAGAAACTAGAAATAGATTTTAAAATGTTGGGAAATTTACTAGATACATTAGATATTGCTAAATGTCTCTTGGAAATATCTAAAACTGAACAATGAAAATGTTACATGTCAAAACTGGTGGGAGGTGGGTAAATAGCACCTCAAAGGGAGTGTATAGGGGCTAGAGTTGTGGTTCAGTGGTAGAGCACTCGTATCGCACATGTGAAGCATTGGGTTCAATCCTCAATTCCACATATAAATAAGTAAAATAAAGGTATTGCATCCATCTACTAAACTAAAAGAAAAATTTTAAAAAGGGAGTGTAAAGGGCTGGGGTTGTGGTACAGTGGTAGAGTGCTCGCCTAGCACATGTAAAGCTCTGGGTTTACAATCCTCAGCACCACAAAAAATTAAGTACTGTGTCCAACTACAACTAAAAAAAAAAAAGGGAGGAGTATATAATATTATATACATTTGTCAGGAAACCAGAAAAGTCAGAAAAGAAATAAGTTAAGCATTCAATCTAAAATACTGGAGAAAGGATAACACAACCAGCTGGGAGAAATTTGAGGAAAATAATAAATATTAGGGCAGAAATCAATGAGATGCAGAATACATGAAACAACTAACAAAAGTCCTATGAAAAAAATCAGTAAGTTGCAAGTCTTGCCAGAGATGTGTCTCAGAAAAAGAAAAAAAAAAAAAAAGCAATAAACTACAGAATTAAAAGACACAGCACAACTCTGGTTAAACAGAATTTTTTTTAAAGACTATTACAAACAATTGTGCTAACAAATTCGAGCAGCTTCCCCTACTGCCCTCTTCCCTTCATTGTCTATTGTTGCCTCTTGGCTTGGAATATAAGCTCCCGAGACAAGGACTTTGCTTGGCTCACAAATAAACACCAAGCCCCAAGAACAGAGTCTCGAACAGGTTCAGCCTGAACAGCTACTCATGAACAGAAGGGTCAACGTCCCCAAGGAGCTGGCGGTGTGAGGCCAGATAAGTTCTTCCTATCGCAGACTTCTGATTGTCTTCATTGGATCTGCTAAGGTGGAAGGATGCCTGCAAGCCAGAGCTGAGAGGAATGGATCTGATGGAATCAATGGCTCAGTGCTACCCCGAGGCGACTGCTGGAGCTATTCAAAGAAACTAGGAACTTCTGCTATGTAATTTTACATAACAGGAAGGAAAAAAAAGAGAGAGAAGAGAGAAAAGTGTCATAGAGTGGGTAGAAAGAGGTGATGGGAGGGGAAGGGAAAGGAGGGAGGAATAGGAAGGGTAGCAGAATACAATAGACACTAATATGGCTGTATGTATAAACGTGGCTGTAAAACCAATGTGATACTACAATCTGTACACGTGGAAAAAAAAAGAACTCATACCCCACTTGAATCAAATGTATGATATGTCAAGATCATTGTAATGTTTTGAGCAACTAATAAAAAAAGAAAAAGAAGAAACTAGGAACTTCTGGCTCAGTGAACGTCACACCTGTGCACACAGCCCGGTGTGAAGAGAAAGGAGAGAAACCGTTTGACAGTTCCTCAAAAATTCAAACAAAGGATTATCAGATAATCCAGCAAATCCACTCCTTGATACAAACCGAAAAGAACTGAAAACAGGGATGCAGAAACCTGCACACTCGTGTTCACAGAAGCACTGTTCACTATAGTCAAAGGTGGAAACTGCCCAATGTCCATCAGCAGGTGAAAGGATAAACACAATGTGATATGTTCATACAATGGAGTATTATTCAGCCACAAAAGGGAAGGCGTCCTGATCCATGCCACAGTGTGATGAACTTCCAAGACAGTATGCCCAATCAAAGTAGATGGACACAAAAGGTCACAAATTTTATGATTCCATTTATAGGAAAAACCCAGGTAGGTGGTTCCAAAGAAACAGAAAGCTAGGGGCTCAGGAAATGGTTTGTGGGTATAAGATCTCCTTTTGGAGTGATAAAAATGTTTTATAATCAGCAGAGGAGGCAGCTGCATGACACTGTGAATGTACCAAATGCCACTGAACTGTTCACTTGAAAATGGTTAATTTTCTACTTAAAAATTTGTTGAGCCAGACATGGTGGCATATGCCTGTAATCCCAGCAGCTCAGGAGCTGAGGCAGGAGAATCGCAAGTTCAAAGCCAGCCTCAGCAAAAGCAAGGCCCTAAGCATCTCAGTGAGACCCTATCTCTAAATAAAATACAAAATAGGGCTGGGATGGGGCTCAGTGGTGGAGTGCCCCTTGGTTCAATCCCCTGTACTCCGCCAAAATTAAATTTGTTGAGAATAGATCTTATGTTAACTCTTGAAAAAAAATTAATAAAAAGGTTAATTTTATGTTATGTGACTTTTACCTCAATTGAAAGAAAATAAATAAATGAAGAGTAAAGTAGTACTAAAACCCACATTTGGCCAGATGACTTGAATGTTATAATCAACATCTAGAGCTCAATATTACTGTCCTAGAATAAACTGACATGACACAAGAATAAATCTTGAAATTTTCCCCAAGAGTTTAATTATTACTTTAATTTTATTATTATTTTACAAACCAATTATTTCAATTTGACTTTTCTCATTTAGGAGCATTAACTCCTTAGCACCATCACCTGCTGGACCGCTCCTGGGATGGCTCACGTGAACATCTGGATACTGAGGAGATGCTCTTCCAAATGTAATAATGTGGCACTAAGAGGTTTGTTTGGTTGGCTCTGCCAGGATGGGACATCCCTGATAATGATGTGGCCATTTGCTATGACTGTTATATGTCCCCCCAAAATTCAGGTGTTACCAAAGTGATAATATCAAGAAGCAGGGTATTTAAGAAGGGATTGGGCCAGAAGGGTACCTCTCTCATGAATAGAATTGAGCCCTTACAAGAGGCTTCACACAGCATGTGGCTGGCTTGCCCTTCCAGCTGCCACTACTCCAGCACTCAACCTTCAAGGCACCATCTTGGAAGAAGAGAACAGCCCTCACAGATCCTGCCAGCACCTTGACCTCACACTTCCCAACCTCCAGAACTTTGAGAAATAAGTGTCTGTCCTTTATAAACTACCCAGACTTGGTATTCTGTCACAGGAACGCAAATGGATGAAGCTACCACCAACCTATTAAGTTTTCCTTTCTGCTAGACTGTACCTGACCATGGTAAAGACCTGCTTCTTCTTCTAACTCCATACTTGAAAACTG